CCACAGCCCCAGCCAATATAGCCAGTGGTTAGGGGGAACCAAAACAGCGATGCCTGGAGGACCCCTCATTCTCCTTCCATACAGATTTGGAAAAAATATGTGTAGAATGAGAGGAATAGATGATAAATCTTACTGCAACAGCAACAGATATACATGCCCTGTGATCCTTCTGTTCTTTTTGTTATAGGGACTTAAACTCCACCCTTTAATGAACTCCCATGGAAGCTTACAATGCCTGTCCTCACAATAAAGGCTGCTCAAGACAAAAATATGGAATAGCAACATCATTTAAGGCAGCACTTTAAAAATGATCAGTAGAAATGAAGCATGCATTGGAGCATAAAAGCAATCAGCATATATAAGACTTATTTTATTAAAAGCCCTGGGGAAATATAAAGGTCTTTGGCTGGTGTTAAAATGACATTGCAGCAAGGCTGGCTTCCAGGAAAAACATTCTGCAGTGAGAGAGCACCACCAAGGAGGACCTGCCCCAGTGACCAGCTGCTGCATTTCCTATAGCAGGGACACCCAAAGAAGAGACTTTGTTGAGGATCTTAATTTACAGACAGGCATAAATGGAAGCAAGCCATCTTAAAGCTACATTGGTAGCTTGGCTTTAATAGCCAAAACTTGCCCTATCAAATGAAGTGAGCTGGGAGCCAGTGTACATGGAGAATTGATTATTCACAGGCACATGTTCAAACAACAACATCAAGAGATTGGTGGTGGACTTTGCATTAGTCACAGAAAAGGGTTTATCCAGACATGGCTGATACCATGGCATTGCCCTGCCTCAACCTCAGACTGTTAAGGGAGGCCAAAGGATGAGGCTGAAGTACCCTTCCAGGCTTTCTCACTTCTTCCTCAATCACTTTTTCCTAGCACAGAAAAACCAAAAGTGAAGAACAGTAGATGGATTGCTGCACAGTAAATACACTAGGACCTTTCCTTGGAAAGGGGACTCCCTAATGTTCCCATGCTTTGGACATGGCATCATTTGATAGCCTTAGAGACTCATTACTAGGACTACAAGAATAAATCTATGGGAGAGAAACCCTGCACCACAAGTCCATGTCCAACTCATTGGGATCTGTTTCGTGCCATCTACTCAACTCACAGTCGACTGCAGTAACGACCAGACCAAGAGGGGTGCTAGCACTGGTGCTTTGTGGACCTATGTCGTCTTTATTTTCTAACAAGTTTCCTACAGTAAGAAAAAGAATGGAAGAGTAAATATGAGGATTTTATCTAGATCCCCCCTGAAATTATGCGAATGAAGCAGGCCAGTTGCACATTAAACCTAATCCAGAAGTATCCCAAGTCTCACGAAAAATGTATTGACACTTATGCAATCTCATTTGTGATGGGTGTTAAGCAGTTGTTCTTGCTTGCTAATATTAATGGTTTCACATACATTTTTATTTGATTTCCATCTCTGATTCTGAAATTTTATCATGACTATAGTCAATATCAAATATTTCTTAAATAATAGAACTGTCACCAATTTTTTTATTGCTGCCCTGAAGCACTGTAAAGAGCAGGATACAAAAATAAATAAACAAACTTTGGTACCTGCCAAGGTTCCCTGATATTCCCTTTTATTTATTTTTGTTTTAAAAGTCAGGATTTGGGACAGTGGCACAGTGAAGTGCCAGCTGTCACATTCCTTTCTTTTTCGTAGAATACAAAGTACATTTTGTGACTCCAGCACCCACATGTCAGCCCACCTGTGAATGGACCCATGATATGTTTTCAGAGGGCCAAGTACGCTCTCCAGATCAACAAGTCTGGAGAAGTGATCAGTGCTGTCCCGTTACAGCCATTATCTCATTTCGAGCAGAACAGGTGACCTGTGCTTCCAGCAGCAGTTACACACCTGTCTGCTTCTGACTGCCTAGACCGAGGCCTGCAAAGCATCCCTGGTTCATATCTCCCAAGAAATCATTACAGGTTTGTGTGCAGATAGAGGAGATCGAATGGCACAGCCACGTTTACTTCTGTGTAGACATGCTACTACGACTCAGATATATAAAATGTCACAGTAGCTTTCCACATGAAAAGTCTACAATGCAGAAATAATGTGTCCTTATCCATGTATACACAAAAACGGCAATATGAATGGCCCTTCCTGGAAAAGCTGCACTTCCTTTTAGAACAGTGTATACTGACCCAAATGTTGCACATCAGTATGACTCCTATGCTTTAAACCTGACAGTTCTGAAACACCTTTTCACTTTCACTTTCAGAAAGGCTAAAACACAATACCAGTTTTTAAAAGTGAATCTGGAGCCTCATGCATAATAGATTCCTATTTTAACATCTTAAGAGCATTCTCCCCTCCCCATTCAACTGAGGATGGGATCTTGAAGCCCTCCTGATGAAGCAGAGCTTGCAAAATCCTTTTACTAGAAAATGTAGTATGATATGAAATTGTCTTTGGTTATTCCTGTCAAGGAGCACACACAGTAATGGACAGGTGACCAGTTTAACATGTATCTTGATCTGTTCCTAAATACCAAAAGTGTCATCTTCCTAAATTTTCTTAACTTGTGAGAGAACAGGAAAGAGAGAAGTAGGTAAACTCATTTGATTCCCCACAGCATTTTTGCTTCTTATTATCAAATAACCTGAATTTGTAAAATAATATTTCGAAACTCACCTCAAAAATCCAAGGCATTCAATATTACAGTACTGAAACTTCTACCTGGAGTTGCCTTTGAAAATGTTGCTGCAAAAAACAACCACGTTTTGCATCACTTTAAAGACTGCCCAATTTGTTCTGCCGTACATTTATAGGAACACAGTCCATCAGATGCATGGCAGGTTAACCTCAGAGTGGTCTGCACGCAGGGACTGAGGGATGAAGTTGGGGCAGGGCTGTAAACTCTTGCTGTCAGAGCGAATTGAAATGCAAAAGATGCAGGTGATGATGATGACCTTAACAGCTGCAATTCACAAAAGGCCCTTGGGCAATAACATCAACACCCTTGCAAGAGTGAGTCAACTAACATTTAAAAGCAAACAGAAAGCTCATGCATTTCTTCATAACTGTACTTCTGCAATTTTGCATTGATATCCATCTTTGACATTCTTCTGTTCACCTTCAGGTCATTGCCAGTGTGTCTTAGAGGGAGGAAATGCCCCCCCCCCCCAGCACCACCACTGAATTCAGGCACTTCAGATGTCATAAGAGCATAAGAAGAGTAGAAGAGTCATGCTGGATCAGACCAGGGTCCATCTAGTCCAGCATTCTGTTCACACAGTGGCCAAACAGCTGCCTGCTGTCCGGCCCAAGTTGTCCAGCAACTGCCAGATTTTGGCCCAACTGTTCTTTTGTGCAGAAACTCCCCTGAGTGTCCTGTGGAGGACACTTTTCTCCCACTTTCCACACTTACTTCCCTACTGGCAGCATTGGGCCGATTTCCCATCTCAATCTGACCTAAGAACGAGTGCAGGCAACCGAGCGGTATCGCAGGGGACACCGCGGCTGCTTTGCCTCTGACAGCAACGCTCCTCCAGTGTCCCTGGATCCAGCAGGGCTCTTTTTACATTGTTCTTGAAGGAACAGGACTCTTCCTTAAGGAGCGACACTCAATTCTCCCTCCCTCCCCGGGAAAAAGCAGCAGAAAAGACTGGGTTTGCTGAGCGCAGTCCCACCCCTTCCAGGTGAGAGAACGCGGGCGAGCAAGGGAAGGGGCCACATGGGGACCGGCAGAAGTGTGAAAGGGGGCACGAGTGGAGGCTTGTGTTGGCCCTCTCCCGCCAGGGCCACAGGGCTGGCCAGTGATGCAGCAGTGCCAGGGCCCACGGGGACATCGTGCTGGCACTTCTTGTGTATGCAGAGTGGGTGACATTATCTGCCACCCAGTCCAGGCCTGCCTGCGCCAAGCTTGGCTGCACTCTGCACACTCTCTGAGGGAAAGCACATCCTCCCAACAACAGTGCATTATTCCTGTGGATGCAACGTATTTTGGAGTGGTGTGGCGTTTAAGACCCGTTCTCTTCACAAAGGACCTGCTCCTGGTGGAGATGGAAATCCTGGCTCTAGTCTGTAAATATGGATTCACCGGAAAGGCTACCTGACTTTCTGGACTCTCCCGGGGGCGGGTTTGTGGGATTTGTCATGGAGACCACCTGCGCGTCAGAATTTGCCACCACAGGCCCCCAGCAAGAACCAGCCTCGCCCCCCGGCCAGCCACGCAGCTCAGAAAGAGCGGCCGCTTCGCTTCCTTCCTAGGAATCGCCCGCTCGTTTCCTCCCGGCAGTGCAGTGGGTACCGATGTCCTGACGCAGGGCCAGGGTGATGGAGAAGCGGGCGGGGAGCACGCTGCTCGGGAGCAGAAAGGCAGCCGGCCTGCCTGCCGGCCCCACCTTCCGCAGGCTCCTCTTGGCAACCGGTTTGGCGCGCGCGCAGCCCGCTCGCCCGCTCCGAGAGTTTCTTCGAAGGTGCTCCCGCCAGCAGGAGCGGCCACAGGCAAGGAGGCAGGGCGAAGGGCGACCCTGCGAAGCGGGGGCCGCCAATCCCGGCCGGCGCATCGTCGGGGGCCCCGCCCCCTTGCCCTCCCTTCCCGATTTGCATAAGAAATGCCAGGGAGCGCTCGGGCGCGCACAGCGTCGTGGGCAGCGTGTCCATCCGGGCGCCCAGCACGCGGGAAGCGGGAGCGCCGCTCGGGAGCCGCATGTAGCCTGCGGGAGGAGAGGTTCGCGCTCTCCCCGTCGCTCGGCTGCCTTCTGCCTCCGCTGCATTTGCGCCCTCCCCACGGCGGCGCCGCCGCTCCCGCCGGATCGCCGAGCAGGGCCCCCTGTAACGCCGCGGTCCCCCCCGCGCCCGCGCCGCCTGCACGATGCACCGCCGCGACCTTCTCCCGTGCCTGCTGCTCTTCCTCGCCACGCCTTGCATCGGCGCAGCCCGCGGGCTCTTCCTCTTCGGGCAGCCCGAGTTCTCCTACAAGCGCTCCAACTGCAAGCCCATCCCCGCCTCCTTGCTGCTGTGCCGCGGGATCGAGTACCCCAACATGAGGCTGCCCAACCTGCTGGGCCACGAGACCATGCAGGAGGTGCTGGAGCAGGCGGGCGCCTGGATCCCGCTGGTGCAGAAGCAGTGCCACCCGGACACGCGAAAGTTCCTCTGCTCGCTCTTCGCGCCCGTCTGCATCGACGACCTGGACGAGACCATCCAGCCCTGCCACTCGCTCTGCGAGCAAGTGAAGGAGAGCTGCGCCCCGGTCATGTCCGCCTTCGGCTTCCCTTGGCCAGACATGCTGGACTGTAGCCGCTTCCCGCAGGACAACGACCTCTGCATCCCGCCGGCCAGCAGCGACCACATTCTCCCCACGCCCAGGGAAGGTAAGAGGGCGCCCGCCCGGCCGCTCGCGCCGCGGTCCTGTGCGAGCTTGCGAGCCGCGCCTGGTGCGTGGATCTGGAGCCCGGTCCCGAGGTGTGCGGCGCGAATCGCTCCCATCCTCCTGCACGCGGGACTGCAGCCCTCGCTCGTGAGGGTCGGTCGAGGAGGATTTACTAATGAGCGACCATGCAGGGCCACTGCTAAGGGAAGGGAGAATTGACTTCAGGACGAATTAACCTGTGCATGGAAGTGCTTCCCATTGAATTTGGCAGGGTTACTCCAAAGTAAAGTCGGTCAGGAGTTGCAGCCCAACAGCCCGTTCTTATTAATAATTCAGATGTAGATCACAAAGTGCTCAGTCGGGTGAGCATGAACAGGATCGCAGCCTTGGGCAGCCTGAGCATCGTAAGTGGGAAATTAATCTATCGAATTCAGTAGAACATGCTGGGTGCATTTAGGACTGTTTCCTTCTCTGACTTTTTATAAAGCTAGATCGTCACAAAATATGTTGGATTCCCTCTTATTACAATTATTACAGCTATAATGGAATCGTCTTATTTGGCGTTAGGGGATTAGAGCCTTATATAGCAAGATGGTTAGTTCTAGCATGTGACAGACGTCTTAAAAATCTCTAAAGAACTTAACGTAGTCTCATGTTTTTAGGCTACCATAGCACCAAAAAGCAGCTAACCACAGTGGATAGATAGCCCTCGTGCCAGACAGCTACAGTTCATCAAGAAAGATGCCACAGAATTAGTTTTCCCAGACTTTTGACATGTTCTGTGCAGTTTTGAGGATGTTTACACAGAATGAAGTTCAGCTGAATTCAGGCAGATTTAAAGCACAGTCCAATTTGCATTCACTCATAAATAGGTCTCGGTTAGTTGTGAGTCTTACTGCTGAGTGAGTCTAGGAGTACGTTGCTAAGCTGTACATTTAGAACTGCAGCTGGGGAAACTGTTCTGCTCATTCGAAGGAAGCCCTGTCTGTCCTCCAACAAGCCTTGTTTAGCACTGAAACTTTAGACCTGATTAAACTTGTTCCATGGTAACAATGCAATCCTATATATGCAAGTAAGTCTCAGTGTGTCCCAGTGGGGCTAGCCTGGAGGTAAGACTGCGAACTTACATACACTTTCTTTGGACTAACTATCAGACTTAAGTACACCTTACTCTGAAGTAGAAATGTCATAACATTGTAAGCAAGAATTAGAGCGCTTCAGATTTTTTTTTAGCTGTTCGAGAACATTGAATACCAGGGATATTTTTTTCTACAACAGCTTTGCTGTCAGAATGTGGCTCATTCTCCATTTAAACTGTTTCAGTCATTGTGCAGGTGCTGTTCTTACTCCAGTCATTTTTGTTAACAGGCAGGTATTTTTCTGTTAAAAAGAATTGAGGAGGGGAAGGTAAAGAGGAAAGTGCATGTTCTCAAAATCTAAATAAATGTTTATTTTATTTAAAGTGCAAAGTGTGTCAAATTCATGGTTTGCCCTTTTAAAAAATAAATATGCTTCCAGGTAGTCTCAGTTTTATACTTTGAAGGATGTTTTTCATTAGCTGAGAGAGATAATATTTTCCCAGGTTTTTTTTAATAACACCAGCAGAGGGGAGTGCACAGAGATTTCCTGAAGCAAACCTTTCTGGGAGTTGTATTGTATTGTCAATCTCTTTTCCTCCCCTCCTTTTCACCCCTCCTCCCCATCAAGGCATTGATTTCTGTTCCTCCTGGGAGAGTGGGGAGGGGTGGTGGTGCGGGAAGGAGAATGCTTTAATCCTCTTCAGGGAATTCATATACATCTCCTCTTTCAATATCCCATTGAGAGTTCCCACTGAACTTGTTACAATCTTTAGCATGACTACCTAGTTTTTCTCCAGACAATGTTTTACTATTAACACAACACATTTGCCATATTAATCTCAAAAAACTGTATAACGCATCCTGCAGGTTGTTGTTGTGAAGAAACAGAGAGCTGGATTAAAATGTATGGGGTGGTTTCAAGAATAAGGCAGAATTTGGTGGCCCCATAGCTCTTCATGAAAGAAACATACTTGGTTTCCAAATGCCACCTGCTGTTCTCTTTTGAAGGTCCCTGCTGAAAGATTTCTCTTTAAATCTCTCTCTTCTTGTAGCACCAAAAGTTTGTGATGCCTGCAAAAGCAAGAATGAAGACGACAATGAAATTGTGGAAAACCTTTGCAAAAATGACTTTGGTAAGCATGAGAGAGTTAGTGATTTTTAAAATGTAGGTTTTGTAATTGACCATATCTGACTACCTGGATAATAGATTTTTGCAAGAAAAAAGTTCAGCTGATATTTAGCTGTTTCCCTGCATACCAAGTGGATTAAAGCATTTATACTGGCAATGGAAGAGCGTGCACCAATCACAGCCAATTGATTAGAACCTTTGTTGAGACTTTCTAGCAGACTTTCAGATTACATACAGCTCTGCTTTGGAATGCGCAGAGTCCATCTTCTGTTTATTCAGCTTGGTCCAGATTTTGCATGACTGGGCCACTGGAAGTGAGCTCCCCTATCCCTCCTCCCCATAGCAGCTCCTCAAAACATGCCACATAGAAGGTCAGGGAACGTTGATCAGTGGGATCAGCTGTGGTGCAAGGGAAAGCAGTTATTTCTTAAAATCGGGGCAGGAGCACCTCCTTGATGAGGTGGGGTAGTAGGGGCGGTAAATTCACTCTCATCAGCCCAGTGGCACATGCACCTTGGCAGCAATTCCTGAGACACTTCACCCAGGAAATGCAGGTAGAAGTGGAACACTCAAGCTGTTTAACAGCAGCAGTTGCCTTTGCGTCGGGTACGTGCCGAGTGGGTGCCTTTGGGCCACTCCAGACATTGAGAGCAGGAGGAACAAAATTATGTAAGCTACTTTGAGTTCATTATAAGGAACACGTAGCATATAACTCAAATAAATAAATAAATGTAAACCAGGAAAATCTGGATTGTTTATGGGGTAAACAACTCAGAGTTAACCCAACACTCAAGGGGTTAGCACTGGGTTGTTAACTGAAGCATGGAATGAGTTACCTGTGGCTTGTACACTCAATTCATTCCCACAATTCCTGTACTGAGCATCCAAGAAATGGCTGCCATGATGTGAGAACTTGATTATTATGACTGGTTGTACCTGAAGATGGCATTTCCCCATGAGATCCTTATCAGTAGTGCTTAAGCAACGTCGCAGCAGGATGGTGGGTAGTGATGTACAGAATCGATAAATCCATTCCTTCTGTGTTCCATGGATTACCACCATCTGCTCATTGGTGAATCATTTTTCAATGTTCTGCACGTGCATGAATTGGACTTGTGAAAATGTGCAGATCCCCCAAACTGCATATTTTGACATCTGACACTTCTTAAATTTATATATATATATATATTTCCCCCTACAGCTATGTTTGCACAAAATAGTTGAAGATTAAAAAATGGCCTGTAAGTTCACAAAATCTGTCACTTGGGAGAGCCAGTCTACTGTAAAAGCCAAAGGACAGATTCCTAGAAAGCCATACTTGAATCTGTTGTGGATTTCTTTAACATCCCTAGTGGTGGGTATAGTTTCCCCCACAACAACATTGTTCCCAAATACAACGTGGAAGTGAATGCTATTTACACACATGAAAGAAAGTAATGGATGTGCTCTGGGACACTATTAAATGGAAGATGAAACTGCCCCTGATGTCCCTTGTGTTTGGCATAGACAGCACATCGCTCCTAGTTGAAAATGTATACATGTCAAGTCCAGGATTCACATTCTAAAGTGACCAAAGTTGTGGTCACTTTAATAATAGGAAACAAAAAAAGTTATGTAGTACAAAAGTTAGTCTTGTGCAAGAGGCAAGACTCAACTCTTTATGTATTGTGAGCCGTCCTGAGATGTCAAGGCATAAGGAACGGCATACAAAAGTTTTAAATAAAATAAACTCTTAGACAACTTGTGAGTGATGGTGGAATTCTCTGCTAGAAGTGCCCACAGCAACATAAAATGTCAAAAGTTGTCATAGCTTATAGCTTTCTAACACTTACTTGTGTTTTTGCTTGTATATGGATGAAGCTGGTCATAAACAAAGCAGAACTATCCCGAGGACTTTGGTGCAAATCTATTTCCCTTCTGACTCCCTTCAGCCCTGCCTCTGTTCCTGTCCTGCTGTGAATCTGAGAACACAAAGTTTTATCTTCACCAGTTCCTATCTTTGTATGGAGGAGGGAGGGAGGATTAGGTACCTATCCGAATGAGAACAGAATAAGATATGGATTTCTCCAGAGTTTCTATATTGGCAAGAAAACCTGAAAACATTGAAGAGACAGGAGGAGGTGTCTTTTAGTTTAGCATTCCCTGACCTGATGTCTTCCAGTTGTTTTGGCTGGGAGATGTTGGGGATTGTAGTTCAATACAGGCTGGAGATGCTCATTCTAGTCTAGTTATTGCATTCTTGACATGCAGAATGCTCTGCATCCACAACAATCCATAACAAAGTTCACAGCCACCGTAGTAAAGCCTTCACATTCCAGAGGAGAAAGTATTGTTAACAACAAAAAAGGGTTTATCTTGAAAATCTGACATTCCCAGATTTTCTGGGAAAATCTGACAGTGCTATTGCCTAACTGCTTCAGAGAAACAGACAAGATGTGGCTGGCAAATCATTGCAAGACCTGGGTCACAGCTAACTGGAAATGCCTCCTGGATAAGGCAGATAATATGCCTAGTGGGCATGGAAATAAGGTTTTCTGTTAAAAGCACATGTTGCAGTTCTATCAAATTATGATTGTAAACGTATTTGCACTTTCTTATGAAAGAAATTTCAGGGACAATGAAGTGCCTCATATCTTATGTTTTCACATAGTACACCCAGAAAGTGGCATTCAAATATGATGATGGCTAGGTTTCTTAATTAACTTTGTGGGGGTGGGGGTCCTCCTTCCAGTTATCATACCAAGTCAAATGCAACTGCTCAACCAATTCTTTCACCCATCCATTAAAATAAAATACATCAATAAATGATGTAGAAGCTTACCTAAGAATTTTTCTAGCTTCCCAAATTAAGTCTCAAGTTTTCATCCGCAGCTGAGATCCCATTTCCTATGAAAAGCTAGGTCTTCTCCTTCCCTTCTGCAGCTTTAGTGAGAATATATTACACTAAGTTTAAAACTAATATACAAAGTGAGTTGCAAATGATAGAAAAGCTGGAAAGAAAGATCCATTGAGAAAAGATTTTTTCTTTCGCTCTTAAAAAAGAAACACACCCAAAGGTTGATTCAAACTGAAATGACTTGCATGCCCTTGATGGCTTTAGAAATGGAGCCACCTGCTGTCCATTCTGTCAGCCCCTGACAGTTTAATTAGCAATAGAAGACCTCCCTCCCCAGGTTCTCTTTATGTGCACTAATGGGAAAAAATCTCTCTCTTTTCAATGGGTCCCCCCCTCCCTGTTATCCCTATTAGCCCTGAAGATAAAAGTGAAGGAGATCGCCTACATCAATGGGGACACCAAGATCACTCCGGAAACAAAGAGCAAAACCATCTACAAACTGAATGGGGTGACAGAAAGGGATCTAAAGAAGACTGTGCTTTGGCTCAAAGGTGGCCTGCAGTGTACCTGTGATGAAATGAATGATATAAATGCACCCTATTTGGTGATGGGACAGAGGCTGGCTGGGGAACTGGTGATCACCTCCGTCAAGCGATGGCAGAAAGGTCAGCGGGCATTCAAGAGGTTCTCACGCAGCATCCGCAAGTTGCAGTGCTAGTTGCTTGCTGCTTTCAGTCATGTCTAGTCACCAATAGCCACAAGTTCTTCCAAATCTCTTGCACCTTCCTGCTTCATCTTCAAAAGCTCAGCAGGGGTGGAGAGGAAGTGCCATTTTAGTTTAAAAAGCAAAGCCGGGGGAAAGGGCAATGAGGGAGCGCCTTCCAATTCTGTACATACAGTAAAATGACACTTACAAAAATCATGAATATTTTTCTCTGATTGTATCAAAGTATCTTGCTTAGAGCTAGTTATCTAAATTGGCACAAAATGTGACTTTTATCTTTTTAAGCTTTCATTTTGGTGTTCTGTTTCAACCTGCAATAACTTCTATATGGCTAACATCTCTGTATATCTTATATTATGCACCAGTTTGTTAAGTATCAGGCCCAGTTGGTCTGGTTCAATCCTCACCTGGTAAAAACCACCAAAAGTTTATGTTGCTCTGTCATTTTTGTGATTCTTGATGTGTCTTCTGGAGAAAGTGAATAGCAGCTGTCGCTGAGTGGGGTTTAATTCAAAGGAAAGAGCTGCTATCTGAAAATGACAAGGTTATGCTTGAGGGGAAAGGGGGCTAATGTTTATCAGCTGGACCCTTCCCCATTTTAGCCACACTCTAATGCAGTTTTAGGCTTGCTTAAGCCCTTTGATTTGAGTGGGCTTGAAGAACCATTGCGCTGTTTGATTGTGGTCGTTATGTGTTGTTGCGACCTTGAATGGTGGGCCTAATTTTATCGAATAGGAAAAGTGCCATCTATTTTTGCTCACTCTCGAGAAATTACCATTGTTGCATGTGCTACTTGTGCAGGAACTGCATCAATAAAAGCATATTAATCATCTGCACACAATATTTTATACAAATCTGTCAATAATAATAGTTTTAAATTGACTGAATGCACATTTGAAAAGGGGCCTTTCTGCAGTCTAACTGTACTATAACTTAGTGCTGATTCTGAAAGAGTTGTAAAATATTACTTTAACAAGCCTTGTAAATATCCCAGATAAACCTTATATTCTTGTACATAAACTTTACATTATAGTTTACTTTTTGTCTTTGTCTTTTGCGGATCAAAGGTTTCTGTGAGGAAACAATAATGTTTGTGGAAAGAGCTCTTGCTTCCATAGTATTTAGCCAGTTTTATTTCATTTTTTCTACAAAACCACAGCCTTTATTTATGCTATGATAGTTGGCCCGAGGCAGTTTAGTGTTTCATGCTATGTCCCACAAACTTTATGTGCATCCTGTGCCCAACATAAGGCACAGCCACAGCAATCCCTGTTGCCTCGCATTGGGTATTTTCTCCAGACAATTGTTTTAAGCTATCCAGATTCAGTGCTAAGGAGAGAAGGAAACTGGGACACTGGACTGGAGTTGGCCTAACCCTTGGCTCTTCCTCCTCCTCCTCTCCCAGTCATAGGGCCTCAGAGCTGGCACTTGAAAGGATCCTGTGGCCTCCTAGTTGATGTTGGGAGGCCATGGGATTGCACCCTTACAACATTTAAATGTATGTTGGATATAATATTTCTGTCCATCCCACTGAGATGCACCACAGTGTGAATCACAGCAATGTAAAGAAGGTTACTGTAAATGAGAACTCAGAAAATTATCTTATTATAATGGCATTTGTCTGACTGGAATAAAGAATGATTTTAAAAGATGCATAAGTGAACAACGAAATTGTTCCACTCAAAGACCTGATGGCCTTATTCATCCCTTCCAATTCTAGCATTCAATGATTCTAAGCCAATCCCCATTTCTGTGCTGCGATATGTTTGTTTGATTGATGGATTTATGCTCCCCTTTTCTATCCAGAAAATGGCACTCGAGGTGGCATCATGTTCCCACATCACTTTCTTCATAGTTGAGGTTGTTTTAGACTTCCAGCAGTATTCAGGTTTAGACAAAAATTCATGAGGAGCTGACAGAATGTATGAGTAACGTGCATTCTTTTGCACTTTCCATATAACATCTTGCAAAGCTTTCACTTTTTGCCTGCAATTCTAGGTTCTTGTCTTGTTCACTGAAGAGAGATGTGACTCATCCTTTGAACAGCAGGCCTAGGTTCCATCTAGATGGATGGTGCCTAATGCTAT